CACCCTCACAAGTGTTGGACCTAGCCGTGTCTTCCTCAAGTGCTCGGTTACAACCTCTCCCTAGGTTCGTCAACCGACGCCACTCCTCTTGGGACGATCATCGACTCTCACCACACACTCCTCTCGGTGTACAAGTGTATTACAAAGTGATCTCACGATTAAGCACAATACAAAGAATGATTGTTCTCTAATATAGATGAGAACACAATAAAAGCTCATACTCAATTGTTATAACTCTCACCAACCCAAATATACTATGTATGAAAATACAATAAGCTCAAGTGAGTGGGTGTGTAAACAATGAGTAAAATCAAATCTAACTCAAGTGAGTGGGTGTGTAAATAATAAGAATATGGAAATCAATAATAATATTGCTAGAGAAAAGAGTTAGAAAACTTCTCTATAAACACAAAGAGAGGATGAGAAGATATTGAAGATGAACTCCTCAACAGATGATGCAAACTCCTCTTTGTAACAGCAAACCCTAAAAATAAACTAAACAAACTTAAACTCTTTTAAAACTTGTTTAAAACATTTCTTGGATGGATTTGAGAACTAAGATCAATGGGGTATTTATAGCCTCCCAAAACCTCAGCCAAAAACCCCAAACAAAAGACCAAAAACCCCAACGAATCAGAAATATGATTTTGTACTAAATATGACTGTTGGGCGATCGGCGGTCGACCGTGGGAAAATTGCGGTCGACCGCGATGTAGACAAGATAATAAACATGCTACAAAAACTGGTTTACAAAAAGGACTTCCCAAATGAGAAATATCATCATTTTGCAAAATAGTCCAAAACATAAAAATGTAAACATATGAATTTTGACATTTAGGCTAAACCATGTTTTAAAACTTTGCACAATGATTATGTAGACTTAATAAAATATATATATAATTATTGTTAAGTCCAAAAACTAAGAATACAATATTTTTATAAATACAATAGAAAATGAAACATATGAGTATGTATATGAAAATATATTTGTTTCATATCTAAGTAGTTAAACCAAATCACAATAATAAATATGAAATATGTAATTTCATATTTATAAACGTAAAAACCAAAACTTGTGTTGTATATATATATGACTACATATATATACAAGGAAACCAATAAAATATGTGTGTATATGATATTGAGCTTAGAGTATCTAACACACATAATATAAAACCTAAACTAGATTACCCAAGCCGATCTTGATCTTCAATAAGCTTGACTTGGTACACTATGCGGATGAAGCTTGAACTTGTATCTTTAACTTGAATGTACATTGCTTCACTCCACTATTCCGCCAATCTCCATTGGATATGATCGTTAAAGCTCTATTCCATCCATCCTCCAACATATTGTTTGCCTAGAATAAATATAAAACACAAACACTAGACAAATAATATTAGATGTAAATTGTTTGTAAATCATCATCAAAACAAGAAGGCTAACAGCTTGGGCTTGATTCTGTTTTCTAATCCGTTTCATTGTGAGTTGATATATAACCCTAAACACGTTTTTTAGTGTAATGCAAGAACGATTTTGAGCAGCCTTTGAGAGAGTTTATTGCATCCTTTGTGGGAGGATTTGTGAGAGATCTAGAGAACTTTGTTTGAGGGTTTTGGTGAGATTTGTAACCCTATTTGTATTTCTCTTCATCTCTAATAGTAAGAACTCCCCCCTTCTTGCCCCGTTGACATAAACAACTTGCTGAACCATGTAAATTCGTTGTCTTACTGTGATTTGTGATTTGTGCTTGTATTTGGTTGTGATCTTTCTCATTGTCTTGTCGTGCACTATTTGGCTTTCGAGCTCCGCCGCGCACAATATATATTTGTAATTGAATTTTGCTGATCTAAATTTCTGCAGTGTTTGAATCCTATCATTTACAATATCGCGGTTCATATGCTAATTTATGACTTAATTGGCAAAAATTATAAGGGATAATTGTGTAAGTATATTGATAATAAAGTAATTCTAAATAAAGTAAATAAGTGGAGTCAAGGAAGTGCCCAAAAATGTTGTTGATTAGGATAACATAGATGTAGTAACTTCACAATGTCTTCGATAAGATTATTTTGTTGGAGAGTAATGTGAGGGCTTCTACTAACAATAAAAGACATTGATTTGGTTTACTTGCTGGCATTAATCATTTTTTATTATTTTGTGCTTGGACTCTAAGTTATATTTTTCCACGAAGTAGGCTTTGACAACCTATTCGGCGGAGGGATGTGATTAAGGTTCGGTGATAGTAGCCAGTGGTTTTTATAGACCCACTGCTATTGACTGAATATTTCTTCTTCTTCCTTTTTTTTCGGGGATAACTGTAAATAATCTATGGTTTTACTGTTGTTAATTAATGGTATATTTTGGGAAGCTTTTATCTGTTTAATGTATTTGGTTAAGCTGTCGCTATGTAAAATTGACATTCGCTCTGTGCAAGCTACACATTTGGAGCTGCAGATGCAGTTTATTTTTTGTTAACGTCTCTGGCATAATATGGTAGTATGATGGGGCTTTCTCACAGAAACTCCATCACATTGAGTAAATTTCACTTTCAATTTCAAGTGAAAATTTTCCTTATATTGAGATGATTATGGAAATTATTTGTTGGCTATGATTAATTAATAATTATGGTGTTTTTTGGATTGCATATTTGATGGGCATCTATATGGATTTGTATACTTGATAGGCATTTATATATACTCAAAATACTATGTGAATAAAAATGTGATGGCGCACGTTTATCATTTGGTGTTATAATTATTGGGATTGTGTCTTTTGATTTTTTGTATAACTTCATGAGAATTAGATAGGGTTAGAGATCTATCATGATTAGGAGATTGAGTCTCATCATGATTAGGAGTTTGAATCTTATTCTAATTAGGAAATTAGGCTAGAAATAGGGTTTTGATTTTCCTATATATATTCTTCTATTGTTGGGGGAAAAATCAAGCACAGAAGAGAGAGCCAATATTCTTGTAATCTAGGGTTAGCAGAGGATGTAACATGATTCAAGAATATTGTGCGAGGCGAGGGTTTCATAGTCTTTATCCGTATAAAAGATTACATCATTAGGAGAGGGTTTCACCGTCTTTGTCCGTTCAAAAGATTGTAAGAAAAGAGCTTTGAAGATAATACGAGAGTTGATTATGTATGTGAGGTTGAGAGATTGAGAGACGAGAGTTGAGTGGTTCCTCTTGTAGTTCTCCCTGATACATAGTGGATTTCTCGTATTTTTGCCCGTAGACATAGGTCGAAGTTGGTCGACCGAACCACGTAAATATCGGAGTTCTTTCTTCTTGATTGTGGTCATTTTGTATCTTGTTGATTGTAGGTTAACTTTCGAATTGCGCAGATCGCAGTAGGCAGGGAGACTACAATCCCCAACAATTGGTGTTGTAGATTCAATCTAGCACCGACAACTATGACAACAACACATGCATAACAAAGAAAGAAACGACTACAAGCGAAATCCACCAAGGATTTTAAGCTCCCCACTATCTTGTTGCGCGTCTTGCGGAAGCGTGCTCGCACACCGAACGAGTCTGAAAAGCACGAGAGAAGATTAACCAAACCTAACACGAGTGCAATCCAATCTAAATACGACAACCCAATCACAAACACAGATATTTTACATGGTTTGGCAATTTACCTACGTCTACGGGAGTGGCACAAATAATTTCTTATTTAATCACAAGAAATTACAAACTTTCAAGGAGAATGTCTAAATATTGAGATCTCTCAAAACAATAACAGTGTTTTTAACTTAAAACACTGTTCAATCTCTTCTCACTTGATAACTCAACTTCCCCTCTTTAATCACAGCCCCCTATTTAATTCCCCTCTTTAATAACAGAGAGCAGAACAAATTAGAGCTCAAGATCGCAGAGGAAAAGAGATGCTGCCGCCAAGCTCAACAGGCTCTCTCTGCTTGCTCTATTCGCTCGTGAACAAGGGTTTCCCTTTTATAGGGAAACCCTAGGGCGAGCCTCTCCTCCAGCTGGCGCATCCACTAGCGACAGGCGAGCTCGACCTCGCCTCCAAGCGAGCTTCCTCGTCAGATCTACATCATAAGGTGAGGTAGGTGGGAGTGGGGTGATAGGCGAGCTCGTCCTGGCCTCGACACCAGCAGGCAAGCTTCCTCGCCAGATCTGCAGCCATCACCGTTAAGCTTCGATCCTTAGCAGGTCAGTTCTTCTTCAATTCTCCACCTCGTCCATCATTTGATAAACTTTAAATTTTGCACAAACACTAGAAGAACACCACGAATTCCTACCAGACCAAACCAGCTGTACTATTATATCATAGCTGCCTACGTACCCTCTGACCGGGATCAAGCTAATTGTAGTTCTGCCAAATGGCCGCCAATGGCCTCAATAATCATAAATGTACAACAAGTTTTGACAATGATTAAACTTGTTGCTCAGAACCACCTTTGTGAGCATATCCTCCGGATTATCCTTCGTGTGTACCTTCACTATCTTCACATCTCCATCTTCAAGAACATCCCGAATGAAGTGATAACGAATATCAATGTGCTTCGTCCTCGCATGAAAAACATGAATCTTCGCCAAATAGATAGCACTCATGATATCATAATGAATAGTAATGGACCACTGTGATATACCAAGTTCCTCCAAAAGTTCTCGAAGCCAAATCACCTCCTTAACAGCCTCCGTAATTGCCATATACTCTAGCTCTGTCGTAGACAAAGCCACCGTAGACTGCAAGGTGCATCTCCAACACACCGACGTACGGGTCAAAGTGAATACATATCCCATCGTAGACTAGCGTTTATCCAAATCTCTAGCATAATCCGAATCAACATAGCCAATGCACAACTACCCACCTCTAGTGTCCCGCTCATAAACCAAATCAACATTGAGCGTACCTTGAATGTACTTCAAAATCCATCTCACAGCGTCCCAATGATCTACTCATGGATCGTGCATGTATCTCAAGACCATGTTCACCGCCTGTGACAAATCCAACCTTGTACATACCATCACGTACATTAAACTTCCAACTACGCTCACATATGGAGTCTTCAATATCAACTCTCTATCTTTAACTATCTTCGGTGAAATGTCAGCTAAAAGCTTCAAATGTGCTCCCAAAGGTACACTAACTGGCTTCGTTTCTATACTAATATTAAATCGCTGTAGAACCTTCTTCAAATAAGCCACTGTGTCAAACAAATTCTACCCTTCTCTTTGTCTCTACCGATCTCCATTCCCAAAATGCGCTTAGCCTCACCTAAATCCTTCATCTCAAACTCCTTTGAAAGCTGTGTCTTTAACCCATCTATAGCAGATCTGGAAATAGAAGCAACCAACATGTCATCGACATAAAGCAACAAATAAATATACGCACCTCCTTTTAACTTGCGATAATACACGCAAGGATCAAACTGGCTCCGAGTATACGAATGACCGATCATAAATCCATCGAATCACCTATACCACTGTCGAGGAGACTGCTTCAAACTGTATAGCGATTTTTTCAACCTACAAACCAATTTATCCTTCCTTGTAGCTCGGAATCCCAATGGCTGAGTCATATAAATTTCTTCATCAAGATCACCATGAATAAATACCGTCTTCACGTCCAACTGATCTAACTCCAAACCATACTGTGCCACCAAATCTAGCAAAATCTGAATCGAAGAGTGCTTCACTACCGAAGAAAAAACTTCATTGCAGTCAATACATTCCTCCTGTGCATAGCCCTTCGCAACCAACCTAGCTTTGAACCTCACTGGAGTGCCTTCAATGCCCTCCTTCTTCATGTATACCCACTTGCAACCAATCGCCTTCCGCTCCTTTAAAAGCTCAACAAGCTCTGATGTATCATTCTTGTGAAGAGACTCCATCTCGTCTTGCATAGCCACCTGCCACGAATCAGCCTCCGTACTCTGCTCGTCCTCTATGAATATAGTAGACACCATCTCATCGATACTCTTCACTAGAAGTGCATACACAACTACTGTGTCTGTATATAGTGTTGGCGTCCGTATGTCTCTCCTCTATCTCCGAACCGTAATTGAATCATGAACCTGAGCCGTCGGTCCCTGATCCTACTCATCTGTACCTATATCCTCCACGTCGTCACCATGCTCGTCTGACATCACCTCAGTCAGCACTCTAATGGATATTGTACCATCTGGACAATGTGGAGCTGCATCGATCTCCACCATGACTTATAAATATGACCGTTGCACACTAATGGCTATTTCCAAATTCTGTTTTTGTGTGGGTTTTTGGTTATTTCCTTGGGGTTTTTGCTAATGTTTTGAGTGGGTATAAATATCTCCTTGCTCTCATCTTTCATCACAACCAAGAGAATGTTTTAAGAAAGTTTAACAAGGGTTTAAAGTATTGTTTAGTGTTTGTTTAAAAAGCTTGTAAGCAATTGAGAGTTTGTTTTGTGAAAATAATTTCACAAGAGCTTGAGGAAGATCATCCATCGGTGTTTGAGCATCCAACTCTTCTCCCTATCTCTCTTAATCTATAGAGAAGTTTTTCTTAAACTCAATTCTAGCATTTTATATGTTTGATCTTAATTTCGTAAGCTAGATTTTATATTGAGTTTAATTGTTTTATTAAATCTCTTTGTTCACACACAACCATTGAGCTTATTGTATTACATTCATAGTATAATTTGGGTATGGGGTTTGTGATATTGAGTTGTGCCTAATTGAGTTCTCACCTTGTATTAGAGAACAAATCTTTTGTTGTGAGCTATTATTGTGAGTTGCACTTTGTATTATACTTGGACACCGAGAGAAGTGATTGGTGAGAGACGGGGTCGGTTCCAAAAGGAGTAGGGTCGGTAGTAAAGCCTAGTGAGAGGTGGTAATTTTGAACACTTGAGGAATGTGACACGGGCTAGGCCAACACTTAGAGGGTGTGAAGTGTATTAGAGTGCCTAATTATGAAGTTCACTTTGTATTATACTAGTACACCAAGAGGAGTGTATAGTGAGAGACGGGGTCGTCCCAAGAGGAGTGGGTAGGTGGTAATGCCTAGAGAGAGGTTATAATTCCTAATACTTGAGGGAGACACGAGCTAGAGACCAACACTTAAGGTGTTAGTTAGTGTGTTTACATTATGAGTGATTGTAAAGTTTTCGGTGAACTAGAAAATCGAGTGTGATGTGTAAACGTTTTTGGGTGATCGTTAAAAACCCAGTGTGATAGTGTATTTCTCCTTGGGAGTGGGGAGCGGAGACGTAGGACGGAAGGTCCGAGCTCTGTGATCATATTGTGTGTTTGCATTATTTATATTGCTCACTATCACTCTTGTTTTTATTTATATCTTGTTTCACCCTTGTGTTAACTTGTATATCATTGCACATATCTTGTTACATATCATATTTGCTAGGATATTTGTTAATTAGTTTTAATCGGTGTTTAAATCGAATTAGATTAGCATAAACCCTATTCACCCCCCTCTAGGGTTCCTTCCTAGTGGCGTAAGGATACTTTCAATTAGTATCAGAGCTTGGTGCTCTTTGATTTAAGGTCTAATCGCCTTGAGTTAAAGATCCAAGTTATCTTTTTATGCTAATCTAGTTTTGATTACATTAATCTTGCTTGCACATATTTATAATGTTGGATATGCATTGTGCATCTTGTTTAGGCTATGATCCTAATATTGCTCCTAGAATAGATAATTTCCCCTATGACCAATGGTATTCTAGATTTAATATTTTTGTTAGATCTAGACAATTTAATTTATGGGAAGTTATTAAAGATGCTTACATTTTACTCACTTCGGAAAAATCCAAGTGGAGTAAAAATGATAAAAGAATGTTTAATATGAACAAGCTTTTGTTAGAATATTTGCTTAATGCTTTTGACTCATCATTTTCTAACAAATTTATTCATTTTGATAGTGCTTACACTTTATAAAAATTTATTGAAGCACATCAAGGGAACTTGAAGGCAATCCGACAAGCTTTGGAGGATTCTTCTTCAAGTTCATATGGAGCATCATGCACACGGGCACTAGGCGATGGCCCTAGTGAGGTTTGCGAGTTCGAATCAATTAATGATTTATCTACTGATGAACTTGCTTGTGCTAGTAAAAAATTATTGCATGCCTATAACAAACTGTATCATATCTTTTTAAATTTAAAAAGAAAGCATGAAGATTTGAAATCCGATCATGAGTTGTTAGCATCTATGTTTGAAACTATTTCTAATGAGAATGTGATCCTCAAAGAAAATAATGAAAAATTAAAATTGGATCATGATTCTTTGATTTTAAATGTTGCTAGTTTAACTCATGAAAAAGATAATGTCATGTTAGAAGTAGAGAACATAAAAATGATACTGTTTCTTTTATAAATGACTATTTATGTTCTACTTCTAATAAAAATGCATATGTGCCTAATAATGAAGATTTAAATCTTATGAATAAACGCATTTCATATTTAGATAACTTTGAAAACATGCATTAATAATCATAAGAAGCTTATGAATATGTGTGCCAAATCTAAGTCAAAATCATCCACTCATTATGCACACATATATAGCAAAGTTTATAAGTGTTCTATTTGCGGTCGTAAAGGCCATCTAGCAAAATTTTGCTATGATGCATACAAACATAACAATGCTAATGATCATTGTGCATCTCATCAAGTTTCTTCATCATATACACATGCACATGCTCACAATGCACATCATAAACATGCACGTGTGTTTAAATGTGATCTATGTGGTCGGTTTGGCCATTTGGCAAAGTTTTACTTTGATTTGAAAAAGATTCTAGTTTGCCAAATGTTTCTAGTAGACCATATGTTTTTAAATATGATATTTATGTAGGTTTGGACATCTTGTTAAATTTTGTTTTGATGTGCAAAAAGATCCTATTTTACAAAATGTTCTAATAAGACCACCTTTGTTTAATAATGTTTCTCATTTGCAAAATAAATTTAAAAAACAATTTCTATTTGTAAATGTTCCTCGTGCACAAGTTTATGGTCAAAAAAATCAAAAGGGCCTCTTTCATTGCACTTATTATAATCAGAAATGTCATTTGCATCATTTTTACTTGGGTACCAAAAAAACCGTATTAGTGCACCAAATGCGCCCAAATGGGTTCATAACCCAAGCGCTTTGAGCTTAAAAGATAGAGGTCATGTCTCTAAATCTTTTAGTACCACAAGTACTTGGGTACCAAAACATAATTAATTTTTAAACCAAGAATTTTAAGGTTTTTATTTTTCTTTTTCTTGGTTTTGAAAATTATGCTTTAAAATTTTTGAATATAAAAACAATTTTTCTTTGATCAATTCTTTTGTTTTCATGATTATTAGTTTTAATTTTGATGAGAGGTTTATGTTTATAACCCCTCGGGTTTATTGGGTGTTTATTCTCAAATCATGTTTACCGGGTGCTAAAATATTTACATGGGTTGAAACAAGCTTAAGAGCTTGATATGGTTGCCTCTCTTGCCATTTTGATATTGATTTCTTTCTTATGTGATTTAATTTTAATTTATGATTTTATTTAAGTGATTTGTTTTCATTTGAAAACTTTTTCATGATTCTCATGTTTTCTTTCATTTGATTTCATAAATCCATTTTTACATTATTTTTATGTTTGAGTAATGAGACACTATTTTCATATTGATATATTTATATGTGTTCTCATTGTCTTTATGTATGTGAGTTGTGTTTAGCATACTTTCATATATGTTTCCTCACATATTTGCCTTAGTCCTCATTACATATATTCAATAAGACATTTTGATAAGAGGAGCAATCACTATACTTGTTTTATACTCACCATCCTTATTTGTAGGGGGAGCTTTCACTCTTTTCATTCTTTTATTTTCTCCTTTTTGATGTTGTCAAAGGGGAGAAATATTGTGAGTGTATTCTTTTTGTTTATATACATGATAATTATAATTTGTATATTCTTTTTCTTTCATGCATATATATCATTTTGTAAATTATTTGTCATCATCAAAAAGGGAGAGATTGTTTGATCCTTTTGTTTTGATGATGATTAACAAACAATTTATAACTAATGTTGTTTGTCTAGTGCTCATATTTTTGTATTTATTGTAGACAAACAATATGTTAGAGGATGGATGGAATCGAGCATTCACGATCATATCCAATGGAGATTGGCGAATTGTGGTATAAAGCCTATGCAATTCAAGTTGAAGATCCAAGTTCAAGCTTAATCCGCATGTTTACCAAGTCGAGCTCATTGAAGACCTTCATCAAGCTTGGGTAATTTAGTTTAGGTTTTATATTATATGTATTAGTACTTTAACCTCAATTATATATACACATACACGTTCTGATTCTTGTATATATATGGTT